TATGTTTATGTTATTTGAAATGAGAAAATACTGATCAAACAATTTCTCTAGTTTTCCAAAATCATTCCTGTACCTAGAAATAATAGCATGATTTTAACTACATCATAATTTGAGCAAAAATCATTGCCCGGGTGCTCTGTTGCAGAACCCACAGAGAATCATTTCTGAAAGGTAGAATTGAATGACATTGCCTTTTGTTAATCCCTTACCTTCAAAATAATGTCAGGGTAAGCTTTTCTATTCCACTTCCAAAGTATATATTTCCATGTTTGTATTGCCTTAAGTGCTTAAGCCCATTTGTGAGAGAGTGCTTCTATTTTTTGCAGGCTAAGCAAAACATTCATTGGCTATTTTGCAAAGAAAGAATTGTACTTTCAACACAGCAAATGCTCACCATGAACCATAATAAATTCCATTCTTCCCCAATACCAGAATTACCTAGATAGCACTGTGGCTATGATCTTTGCTTATAACAGTGAGATTTATCGATTTAAACCTTTCATTTTTTAAAAAATACAATTTTAACTTCCAGAGCACCTCTTTTACCTAGGCTTTAAAAAAAATCCAGGTATTCGCTGTTTGCTACTTTTACAGACACCTGACATGCAGGTTTTCAGACCCAGCTCCCAGGCAGCCCATTTGAACTGCCATTTTTTTCTATGTTAATCCAAGTTAATATCTACTATTTCAGCTATGCTTGTAAAAAAAAAAAACATATAAAACTATAGTTCTATAGCAGGGGTGTCAAACTTGTGGCCCATGGGCCAGATGTGTCATGTGCTGGCTCCGTCCCCACCTGGTTTAGCGAAGGGGAAAAAAGTCCTGATATGTCACATGATGCCACCATGATGCTGCGAGTTTGACACCCCTGTTCTATAGAGAACTAGAGAATCTGTGGAACGAGATGGAAAAAAGATTTTTTTAAAAAATGTAAAGCTTCTTTCGTGCTTACATATTATATACACAGAGAGAGGGGGTATATATTGGTGAATGCTTTCCTAGAACAATTTAATGTGCATGAATATTATGTAAGAAAACGTATCTGACATTAAGAGAGCAAGTAATTGGCACTATTGCTTTCAATGCTTTCAGATTCTTATGACCAAAATAAATAAATCCAAATTAAATAAAATCCCTGATGTATTAAAATCCCCCTAGCAATTCATAGGTAGATTTGTGCTTGTACATGCAGATCTTCTCAGCATGTGATGCTATGGGACAGATGCAGTAAATAAATTGCTCCTCCCTAAGCCAATACCATACATTTAGCTCCTCCTCAGCAATCATTATACTGAACTTAGATAAAATTAGATGATTAAAGATTCTTGCAATTTTTAAAGGAATCCATATGCCTGAACTCTGTCACATCGTTCCGTCATCGTTCCTGAGAAGAACTCTATGCACTTCCTGTTTTTTACCCCAAGAGTTCAGGGCTCTATTCCTAAAAACAGTGCTTATTTTGCTTCCAATCTAAAAATAGTCTTTCAAATGTACTGCTGTTATTAAGGAAGCAGGATACTCTTTCTCACAACAGTGTAGGTTGTTTGAAGCACCTGAAAAGCTTTAAAGTGCCTGCCTCATAATTCTCCATGAAACAATTCCAGAGTCTGAAGAAACTATGAAAACATGAGATCCCAATAAAGACAACCTAAGGTCCAAATAAAGATGCAATTAAGGCAGGGGTGAAATGCTGCTGGTTCGGACCGGTTCTCCTGAACCGGCAGCAAAAAATTCTATGGTTCGTCCGAACCGGTAGTAAAAAAAGGTTCCCACAATCAACTGTGACAATGTCGCGCGATCATCGGAACCCTTTTTTTTTACTTTAGCAGGATCAGCTCTTTAGTTTCTCCTCGGTGTCTTCCCTGGCTTGCCCTGGGGGTATGACGTCCTTCCTATTTGCAGGAGTTGGCGGGAAGGATTCCCCATTCAGCCTCAAGAGAAAAGAAGCACGCACTTGCTCGCTTTGAAAGCTTCTACCAAATGGAAAAATATCAGGAGCAAGTGTGCACTTCTGGGCCGGACCTCCATTTAGTTTTTATATAAGGTGGGATTGAATCTCCAGTGATTGGTAGAAAGTTCTTCAGCTGGCTTTGTTTCCTTCACCCCCACCAGATAGTCTTTCCCCTCCCTAAAGCACAAAAGTTTCTTTCTGAAGCTGTACATCCACACAGAACCGGTGGCAAAAAAAATTAGATTGCACCACTGATTAAGGCCTACAAAACCTAACATGCCAATGTAGTTTATGATAATGAAGCATCTGCTACGTTATAAACATAGCAGCGTCACTATTTCATTCTTTGTAGTTTCTACCAAAATGAAGAATAAAGGAGGGGAAAATACACAACTGTACCAGAAAGTGAGACAGGAAGTAGAGAACAGATGAAAAGTTAAGAATCCAATTCACATTTTTTTCTCAAATCCATGGTAAGCAAAGAGTATTTCTGTCCCTGGGTGTCATTGAACTGTAGCCTGCCAGCAACAAGGAAAGTCAAATACAAGAAGCAGAGACAGCATTTTGGATGCTGAGACGCTGAAAGGACATCTTAGTAAACTGAATTAATCTTGTAAATGACTCTTATTTATTTGTTATTGTAGCCCTAGACTCAAAAAATAAAAATAAAAGGACAGATGAAACATTGGCATAATTAAATTGCAGAAGTAAACAGCTGAGTTTTATGAATAGCATGTATATCACAGCTCAGACATGTTGTATGTGAATCAAGCCCAGTAATATCTAGCAAAAATTATCACAAACAAGCCTGCATACAGAGATTAATAAAAGAAGATATAAACAAAGCTATTGGGTAACATAATTATAAGAGACCTAATTGTAGGTCATCACCACACCTTATAGGATTTATTGCCATAGCTAAAAATAACCATTTTACATGTTTAAATAGATTTATCTCACAGTAATTGTAATTGCTAACTTAAGGTGACAACTTAGTCACAAGTTACTCAGTAAAATCGAGAGGCAAGAAAAAATAGTTACATAACTTGCATGCAAGGTGTAGTTTTATCCTTACACCTTATCAAAATAAGCAAAGAAAAATGCTTACAAAGAGATACCATTTTAATAGACTGAATTGTACTGTATGTCTGAAAATCTATGGGTTTTTTCCACAGCTAGTATCTTGTAATAATCTATTACAGAACAAACTTGACAGAGAAAATATTAGGACATCACAAATAAGTCTATTCTAGTAGATTTACTAGAATAGATGAACTCTACCACCCTGCTCTTTACAGTGAAGCCTAAGGCTTCTTCTTGGGCTCATCTGTGAAATGTACAAATGACAAAGAGTATTCTTTTATAGAAAAAGCTCTCAAATTCTATAAAGATCTCTTAGAGATCTATAGTCCTTCTTTCATAGTAATACCTACAGGTCACAGGTCACATCTGAAATAAAGGAGCTAGTCACTTGCAACAAGCTGCATATCAAACAATAAAGCAGGGTGTCAAACGTGCGGCCTGAATGCATCACACATTAGCCATGCTCATATTTTAGCAAAGGGGGGGGGAGTCACGATACATCACATGATGTAAATGTGACACTGCAAGTTTGACATCCCTGCAATAAAAGATTAGGCATTGAAACAAAGTCAGATATGAATGATGTTTTCCTAGTTTTCTCAAGCAAAATGACTGTTTCCTAATAAAATCAACCTCCAAATGAATACTTCATGTGCACAACTTTCATTGTATTATTGGCTATGATGAAGCAGAAATATGAATTTTGAAGAGGATACAAAGACCAGCTTGAAAAAGGACATAAATTAGAGCTCTGAAATAATATTTATAAACTAGCAAGAGAGAATTTCAATATTCAATGTTAGTTAACCTTAAGCAATCATACATACAGTAAATGAAGAATAAAAATAAATGTTAGTATGAAACAGCTGAACTACAAAAGTAGTTCATTTATGTGGATTTGACATAAATCAAAATAGGGGTTTTATCAGACTAATCTTAATTAATTTACAGATTCATTCATTTTGTTCTGATTAGAAACTTTTTGTAGATTATGATGAATAATTTAACAAATATTGAATATCTGTCGGTGCATTTTGCATTTCACTTCCTTTGATTTTATTGCTTACAAATCTTTCCCCACGTAGAAAACACCCACATACCATCGTCATATGCATAAATAGTATCTATTATCTTTCAGGAAGTAAATGATAAAGTTTCATGCCATGATAAATTTGTTAAACCTTTAAAATGCCCCCAAATCTCTCAGGATTTTATTAATCAACCATGTAAAAGTAAGTGGGAATGAACTTGGAAGACTGAGCAAATGGTTGGTTCCCAGGAAACCATCAGATAACAGGCAGCATAGTCTACAGCCAGATAATAGGGCAATAGGTTCAGAAGAGACCCTCCCTAATTTCTTGAGAGGAAAAGAAATGTGGGTGGGTGGGGGAAATATACATTCAGATTTGGTAGATTGTGTCAATGTAGCTTTATAATAAAGTAAATTAGCTCATCTGGTTGTATTTCCTATCTGGTTCGCTTCACAAGACTGACAACCACATACAATGTATTTACAGAACATAGAAATACATAGAACATATTTATAGCACAGTACAAGGTTTTGATGTCGTGCTTTGATAAAATCAGAGCACTGAGGTAGATCTGTGAACCAGTCTGGAGGCTTATTTTAAAATAGCAAATTGAATCAGATAGTTTGAAAGCACTTTTGTAGCTTTTAAAAATCCTTCTCAGTTTTGATTGATTTTCTACTGCTTCTTGAGTTGTTTTACAAAATACTATATAATATTGCACCATCTGTTTCACGTAAGGGAAGATGATATGATCTATAAGATTGACATGAATAACCAATCAGTAGAATGCCTTATTCAACTCTCAGCAGAATCAAAGCTGTTTAGGAGCAACCATCAACAGTTAGAAACAAGCAGTCAAAAAAAAATGCTACTACTTGATAGAGCAGCAATGAAGGCCTTGGAAAAGATATTCAAATGTTATGATGTGTCTATACCTACAAAGATCAAAATAGGGCAAGCATTGGTGTTCTCTGATTTCTAAGAAAGTAAAAGTTGGACCTGTAAAGGAACAGGATATTGACAGTTTTGAACTATAGCATTGGAGAAGACTCCAAAGAATAATTCAGACATCCAAGGAAACAAACTGATAGATCATTGAACAAATCAACCCAGTCCCCTCTCAAGGTTAAAATGACCAGGGTAATATTATCCTACATTGGATATATTATGTGAAGACCTCAATGCTGGAATTCTGGGAAGGAAATGGCAAACTGAAGATGGCTTGGATAAAAGTAGACTGGCTCTTCATAATTCCTCTTGCTCACAATTTTCCAGAGGGAATAGTTATTTTGCTGAAACCATGACATTGGGTTTGCATTCTTCCTTTTCTAATCAATTTTGGAAATGAATTGTTAACTACTTTTCAGTTATGAGGAACTCAGGAAAATGTTTTTAGTTTGATTTAAAAAAAATATAGGATGTGATTTTGAAGTTTGGACGCTAGAGGGAACTAGAAGGAACTAAAGATTATGATTAAAGGAGAAGAAAACTTAAATCTGTCAGTGGAGCAAAAATATTTTAAAATTGGACTTAATTCTAGATATTTTTGAACTACGGGCTCAGAATTTAATTTTAAGAATGTCTGCCTCTAGAAAAGGGGGAGGGAAGTGCATGATGAAAAAGAAAGAGAAAAGAAAAAAAGTGTCTCCCCCCTTTGTTATCTTCATTTTTATTGTATTATATGCTGTAAGAAACCTCAATAAAATTTTAAAACAACAAAAAATAATATTTAAAAGATGTTATATAAGAAGAACAAGTTTTACCAGACAAACACTGAGACTGATTTAAAAGTAGATCTAAAAATGACATGCTACAAGAATGATATATAAAAAGATGCTACACAAAGGTAACTGACATATCTTAATAATTAAAAGGGATATATAAATAACAAGCCAAGAGAATGACCTGAATTATTTTTTTGGGGGGGGGTTACAAAAGGGGCTTGTTAAGAGCTTTGAAAAAAATTTGTGACAAGGGGAAAAAAATGAAAAGAACTCAAGTTCAACATTATTTCAAGGGTCTAAAGCAGAGGTGGGTTCCTACCGGTTCATCCCAGTTCGTCTGAACTGGTAGTGGTATGGCAGCCTGGGTCGCTGGAACCGGAAGCACCCAGGCCTGCCACGCCCACAAACTATTTCCCAAAAACAAGATGGCAGGGTTTGCTGCCCCTGCCATCTTGTTTTTGAGTTCAGTGCATGCACAAAACAATTTTAATTGAACTGCATGTATGCACAAAGCGCGCATATGAGCGAACCAGCAGTAAAGCAGGCCAGAACCCACCCCTGGTCTAAAATAAAAGTACAAAGGAAGGGATACAGACTTGTTTTATTTGATCAAGGTTAAAATAGCTTTGCTGTTGTCTCCAATAGTTTTTAATGGTTTTTTACTGATCGGGCATGAAATGCTGAAGTTTTGTTTATAGATAAGATATTGGAATTTGGGAAGAAGGCAGCATTTGTTGTATTTTAAGACTAGGTCATAAGTTACTAATATTTTTATACTTGTGGTGAAGAATCTCTCTGATTCTAAGGCTGGTTACTTTACCTTCTTTACATTTAGTTGTAATCTCATTTTTGTCACTGTGCTTCAGGACTGGAACATGCGGATCATTTGCCTCTTCAGCTATTAGAGTAGTAAAACTACTATATTGGAGAATGCAGGTCATTTGCATCTTCATCTATTAATAGTGTTACACACACAGTGTGCCTTATTAATAGTTATTCTTCTGTTAGCTAAGTCTAACAGCTATTTGTTAAAAATCAAACTTTCTAACTCAGTTTATTAAATACATAAACTATTCTACATTTATTGAACACATAATTCATTTTCTAAGGATTTTATATAAAATATTTGATTGATTGATTCTAAATAAAAAAGCTCATTCTATTTTTATATGGAACCAAAAATTCTATAATTCTTCAACTATAACTTTTTTTATTCTTGTGCCATAGGATTTATCTATTGTTCTCTTTTTTAGATATTTACAAACTATATCATTAATCTTTTTATATCACTTTAAAATTATGGATTTTCCTTCTTTATATCTTTTATTCTTTCTTTTTGAATTCTTTGCAAAATATCTCAGTTCTATTTGCCTGCTGCTTTAAGACGATAGCTTTGCTTTCTTGTGAGGATGGAACAAACATTTTTTGCAAGCATAGATTTCTATTCCATGGAGTTTTTATGACTAAGTTATTACACACGTATCAAAGATTCAGTGCTACGTTCAACATGCCTGTGTCAGATTTCCTTAGTTCAAAGTTCAAACAGATATTAAATGGATTATAATCAGTTGATCAGAGTTTGCACATTCTCCTGTTCTAATTAACTAAAATCCCCCCAAAATGAAGATTTTGAAGAGCTATGGTGATGACTAACCTATTTATCAGTTAGTACTTCCTGTGTTACCCTCCCAGGTTTTGCATAAGGGAAACAACAAATCGTACAATAGAGATTGCATGCTTAACAGTTTAAATATTCTTTGTTCCACAGTTCAGTAGTGAACAGGTCATATTTTCAGTTGACTCTTAGGAATTAATCTGCAAACAATTTTATACATAAATGGAATTTCAATTTTTTCATGGAAATATAACTAAAGAAAAGTGTGAAGAATTACTGAGCAAAGTAGGAATAAATGGAAGTTTTTTAGTACGAGACAGTGAGAGCGTACCTGGCGCTCTTTGCCTCTGTGTTTTGTAAGTACTTACACTTTTATGTAACTAAAATAACTTCTTTTTATTGTTAAAAGGAAAGGATTCAATTAGAAGAAATGCAAATGTTTAATTGAATCTGGTATTGTATAAAAGACAGCTTAAACATGACTAATGTTTTATGGACTGAGTTACATTTTTAGATGCTTGCACTTTTGAGAACCAACTACCATCTGTTTTCAGAAAGTTATGAAATTGTTCCAGGCACATATACCTAGTGGGAGAACACATAATACTGATTCTGTTTTATTATAAACTGCAGTGTATATCTAGCCCAAATTTAAATATAGAAATAAATATACAATAAAATTATATGCTGGTTTTGGATGTGATATGTTTCAAATCATTACAGATTCAAGATAGATCCTTACAACATACTTTTAATCAGGGTATTTTTATCCATCAGCTCTCACCATCTCTTCTCCAAATGATGTATGGTGTAATAACAATTATGTAGGATGATATACTAGCATATATGGAAGCCAGTTCTCATGTATGAATTCAACCAGTTGTATGCTGGCAATTATCATTGCTACTGAGCTTAAAGGCAATTTGGATTTATAAAACTTATTTAGAGGCAAGTATATGTAATTATTACATAGTGACTTCGGATGTCTACCAAATATAACTCTTGTAACTTCAGATTTTTACTTGCTCTGGAGATGTTAATTCACATATTTGTTCAGAATTTTCATATCACAAGAAAATTCCTATTTATTTAGCTGAAAATGAAAACTTAATTAGTCATGGTTGTGTTTACCAATGACAAATTTATACATTTTTTGCATATTTCTCCTTATAGTTATCAGTTTTAGGCATATGATTTTTCAGTGTATTTTACTTTCCCAGTTCCCGAACACACTCCTTACTAATACACTTTTCATTCTAAAAATTAGTTTTGAACATCTTATCTACACTTACCGAATCTTCAAGAAAAGTAATGGACATTTTATGATGCAGGTAAGAAAATATATAATTATTCCTTATTCCTTAAATGTAAAAAAATATAATTTTAATAGACTCCTCATGCAATTTTACTAGTTGGAAGGGGGAGTTGCACGTTAAACTAAAATGTGCCTTATTTTTACCTTACCTTATTTTTTCAATTTCATGAATGTTAAATTGTGATGAATTAAGTTGTTTAATTCTGATTCTGTATTAATATAAAAAGATGGTGAAGGTCATAGTTTGGGGGTATTTTAAAGATGCTATAATCATATCTGAAATGAATTTATTTCAGTCATTACTTATCTTTTGGATATGAAATAAATTATTAATGTTTTTGAATTAAATGTAAATTTAGCTTCAATGTGCTTATATTTTAGACATCTGAAGGTACTCCAAGATATGTCTTCAGAACATTACCCAGTTTAATTGACAACTACAAAAAGCCAAATCAAGGCCTAGTAATCAATCTGTGCTACCCTGTAAATCGTTCTCCTTACTATCAGGAAACTCAAACTGTGTATGCCACTACATCAGAAACATATGAGGATCCTGGTAAGAGACAAATAATTATAAAGGTGGTAAAATATTTATATATTTCAAATAAAGAAACTATCAGAATAGACTACTAAAGTTTGCTTTTATGAATGAGAAAGAGAGGGAGGGAGGGAGATAGGAAGGAGAAAGAGAGAGAGAGTGAGAAAGAAAGAAAGAAAGAAAGAAAGAGAAAAAAGAAAGAAAGACATTCTAATATGCCTAAATGAACTCTTTAGAGGATTGTTATAAAAATATGGGCAATTTTTTTCTTAGGTGAAAGTGACAAGCCACATATTTAAAGCATTACGGGATTGGAAATGGCTTTAACTATTATTGTCCAGAACTAATATTGTTTTAGAAAAGCATTGGCTGTGGATTTGGTGTTCAGATTACTGTCATATCAGTCACATATCAGATCTGGTGTGATAGAATGCATGGTTCTTTCTTTGCATGAACCAATGAGATATTTTATTTTTATTTTTTTGCCCAAATCTAGCCTTCAGAGCAAATCAGAGTCTCCTCACAGCCATAGCAGAAATGCCTATCCTGTTATTAATAGAATTTCAGCATTTAAATCAGCAGTATTGGCCAAAATCAATAGTGTGTCCAGAGCTTGCTTCTTCTTGTAACAACAGCATTCCCTGAATGGAATTCTAGTCAGAAAACTCTCATTGACTAACTATCAATACTTCCTCCCCCATGCCCCGCAAAATGCCTGCACACTGTTCTCTCAACAAAATGGAATTTATTCTGAGGGAGCGTACTAGGCAAATTGGTAAATTAGTAAATATTAACTGCTTTCAGATTTACCAGTAAAATTAATTCATAACCTTGGATACTTTTTTTTCAATTTCTATAATCATTAAACTGAATTAAGTGATTCTGAGTGGCTTACAATTCTAATAATAATAATATAAATTGTTATAAAACAATTAAAATAATAAAAAAATTAAAACAAAAAGGATACCCACAAGATAAGTACAACCGTAACTGAAATAATTAATCTACTAATAGTAAAGCCAAATAACCAGGCCCCTTAACACATTCCAGGTCTGGATACATAACCAAGGTTTTAAAGCTTTTCAAAAGGCCAAAAGGGTTGAGCCTATTCTAATATCTGAGACAATATTTCATAACACAGCAGAAAAAGCCCTGTCTTATAGTTCCTGCCAGTCAACACTCATTGACTGATGGGAACTGCAGCATTCCCAATCTATTTAATTGAGTTGGATGAGTAGAAACTCTTGAAAAAGGACAGGAAATCTACACAAGCCACTTAAGACTTTAAAAATGACAACCAGCACCCTGAATTGCACTTAGAAACATACCAGTGCAGCTCACAGAGAAGTTATTTTACATGTGCCACATAGCCAGCACCATTTATTACCCATGCAGCTGTACACCTGTTGAAGTTTCCAAATATTCTTCAAAACAGCCTCATGTAAAGGATGTTACAATAATCTAAGCAGGAGGTTACAAAGAGATGGGTAACAGTGAGCAGGACTCCTGGTCCAGGAATCGGGGCAATGGACACACTACCCAAAGGGGTGTAAAAGCTCTCCTAGCCACAGCTGCCATATTTTATGTGGATGGAAATATTCTTCAGTTTGCAGGAAGAATCAGTTTAGTGGCTCCTCTCTGGGTCATGTGAGCCAATATTATCTGGCAACATTTCAAGCAAGTACACAACTGTCTCCTGTCTCCTATTAAATGGGCAACATGCAAAGTTGTTAAACTCACCATTTTAAGTATCATCCAAGGCCACCCTATGTTAGGTTGAATGGTTGTGATTATTGTGATCCAGCTAGTTGCACATGCTTAGTGGAGTGGGAGGGCGGGAAAATAAAACTACAGATTAATCAATCCCTCTTCTTACCTTGTTCCACAATAAAACAATAAGGACAGGACCAGGTGTTAGCCACATTACTAATTGTTTGGCAATTAAGGCAGCAAATTTTGTGCCCGAATCCTTTTTTCCGGATGAAGGACTGATGGAGAGTACTTTAAGATCTGACTATGCTCTGTGGGCTAGTAGTCACATACATCATTTGCATTCTCAAGGTCAAACACTAGATAAAATGTATAGGTGGTCTTTGACATAAAACCATTCATTTAGCAAGCATCAAGTTACAATGGCATTGAAAAAAAGTGACTTATGACTGTTGCAGTACCCTCCAGTCACATTATCAAATGCAACTGGCATTATTTATGATACTTTCATTATTAGTCTCAAAATGATATGGTGGCAATAAATTTAATGAATAAATAAATTGCTCTTTGCAACTTTTCCAGCAAACAAACAAGCTCAATGAGTGAAGCCAGATTTGCTTACCGACTACATGATTGCAGTGACTACAGTGATTTCACTTTGCAATTATGGCAAAATTGTCATAAAATCAAGCATGTGCATTTTCTGCAGTGGCTCACCTAAAAACCAATGGAAAATCTGGTCCCAGCTGTTAGTTACACTTGCATAAAAGCATAGCAGCAATAGCACTTAAATTTATATACCACTTTACAACCCTCTTTAAGTGGTTCACAGAGCCAGCCTATTGCCCTCAACAATCTGGGTCCTCATTTTACCAACCTCGGAAGGATGGAAGGCTTAGTCAACCTGACTTGAGCCAGTCAGGATCAAACTGCTGGTAGACTGAGATATTATAAATCAGGAAGAGAACCAACATTGGGTTAGATAATGCAGCAGTCTGACAGGAGAAATCTAGTCTGTATTTTTAAAGGCACTGAACATCTAAAAGAAGCCAGGAACTTTAAAACTTTATATCAAAAATTGAACTATTAGCAGCAAACAACTAAAGGCAATTAGCAGAATATTTATAATATAGTATTGTAAACTGGTATGCATGGCCCTATGTGTTGTAGTGTCTACCCCACGGTACACTGATTTCCCCTGAAAACTGGATGGTTCCCACCCTGTTAGTGTTCTGGAGGGCCTTAGATACAACCACTCCCAGACCTTGGACTAGGCGATTACAAGTTTGTTGATGCATTATTTTAGATAGATTTACCATCTTTTTATTTATATTGTAGTTATCCTATTTGTTGGTGGTGGTTTTCTCTTTTCGAGTTGTATTTGTATTTGATTCTCTGCTATATTGCGAGCCATCAGGGTAATTCTGGAGTTAAGCAGCACCTAAACAGGTTAAATTTAAATTCACATTGTTATAAATAATCTCATTCATCTTTACAGTGGAAAAAAAAGTTCTTTTTATGTTTCAAAATAAGAGAGAAGCAAAGTACAATATTCATTGTGGGCGTATGCAAATTGTTTAAATTTGCTTTACTTTACTAAAACTTCAATGCCTCCCCAGTGTCTATGTCTACGTGTCACACTGAAGTGATACTACATTGGAATTTACTGCTGAACGAAGTACAAGACATTCCTGCCGAAGTGAACTGACCCTCTGATCACATTTTGATTGGAAGTGTTGCTTTTCTATATTGAGGCACTACAACTGAAAGAGACATAATCCTATAAAGTGAAATAGTTATACATATCTCTCTAGGACTGGGGGGGGGGATGAAAGGAGCTATTGGGATATGTTACTTGCTGTGGAAGAATGATAAACCATGCCATAGATACAAGCCTTCTAAGATTTTTACTTGAGTTATATTTAACACTGAAAAAACAATTCAATCAGAATTTAAGAGCAAAAGTATGAATGGATGTGTGAGGTAAAAAAAAGAAATTATTTAATGTTTTTGCTACAGATTTCTGTTCGGCATTCAGGTTTCTGTCCCCTTGGATTGTATATTGTAAGGTAGTCATCATGTAATAGATAGAATCCTCATTCTATTGAGTCTTATGCAGTAAATTACATTTCCATTGTGCATTTAAATCAACATTATTTAAGCAGCACATTGTGAATAACTTTTTGCACTGAAATTTAGAGAAATGCAATGATCATCTTTTTCTCATCCTCTCTCCAGATGTTGGTGAAGATTACATTAACGTCTTGCCCGATTAATCTGTTCACTCCATTTCAGCAGGGGCATTCTTTGGATCATACTCAGGCAAACTATTCTATTCACTTCACTGAATTCTGTGTTCATTTGTACTTTGGATAATTCTGTGTTAAATGCCAATTTTTACTTGCTGGCTTGCTTGTCTATGTAAAAGGCACATTTTGTAAAATGCACACACATGTGTATAATCTTCTTTCCATGTACCAAGTACATACATGGTCACTTTATGCCCTGATGAAGTGGATATTTGAAAAGCTCCAACCACAAAAATGTGATAGTTTTTTTCATATTGCAATACCTCATTATATTTTCATTTTAAGAGTTTTCCTTTATTTGTACTATTTCAGTTACTATATCTGAGAGTGATAAATGCAAGGATCTTTGATGTTCATAAATTTCTAAATTGTTCATTTTAGTCAGTATCATTCAATATCATTGCTATAAGTAACACAAAAATATATTTAAATCTCATGGAGTGTATACTTTAAGATCACAGTAATAAATATAAGAAACGTAAGAATGTTTATATAGCTCAGTGGTTCTCAACCTGTGGGTTGGGGGGGGGTGTCAAACAGCCCTTTCACAGGGGTTGCCTAAGACCATAGGAAAACACATATTTTCAAAAAAATACGGAAAACATAATGGTTGGGGGTCACCACAACATGAGGAACTGTATTAAAGGATCGCAGCATTTTGGAAGGTTGAGACCCACTGATATAGCTGATCAAGTATAGCTGTACAAGATTTAGTTAAGAAGCAGCATAAGCATTCACAGTAATCACCAATTATTATTAGTATGTTTAGTATGTAGTATGTTTATCATCATGCTACTGTACATCATGCCCATGCAAGAGGCAAAGTTTGGAAAGACCAATCATCTTAATAGCTTATGCTCTCTCAGAAGACTTTGTCTTTACTAAAATTGTATTTTTAAAGAAGACTATATGTAATTCAGAAATTATTATTGAGTCTTTAGTCTTCCTTGATTTTCCCTTTCTGCATATATATTTCTGCATAAAAGAAACCTGCAAACTCTGTTCCTCAATGCAAGGATGATGTCACCTAGCCTGTAAATGAAATGTCTGCAGGAAAAAAAGAAAGCTCAGAGGATACCAAGAAGCCAACAATTATCTGAATTACATAATTTTATTTGGGTGAAGTGTATGGTCACTATAAAGAAAAGATACAAGTACATTTTCTTGAGAGTATTTTACAATAAGATTTTACATTTTGATCAATTGTTGCTGGTAGCATGCAGAATGAATTTAAGGAACACTTATAAAATGCTTTCTTTTTAGTTTATATATGAAAAATAGAATGAATAACATCTACCACCTTTAAATGAGCTGCAGTTTAGAAAAGAAAAACATCATTAAATGTTTGATTAGTTCCACCAATTCATTTTCTTGTTAAAGTAAAACTATCACCGAGTTTGGTCATCCCCCCCCTTTAGTAAAAACATTGGCATATTACTATTATTTTTGAAAAAATGTACTAGAATGCAAAAACAAACAGTATGCCAGTGAAATTAGTTTAAATTGTAAAAATTACATACATTCTTTTAACTTAAATTACATTGTTAAACTAAACAGTTCTAACTTTTTAAAAAGTTACCAAAGTATAAATAAAATCACTAAGTGTATCCTTAAATTATATTTTTTGAAATTGAAGTAAAATGATCTCTAGCCGAGCCTTATAGATATCTACATTTTTAAATATAATTTCAGTGTAAGGCTTTTTAGTTACATCTTTTTTCTAATGGATTTTACACTTTTAAATTATAATGTACTCAAGTGTTTTTTTCAATTCATTTTAACCATAATATTAATGTGCTATAATCCATTCTATGAATTGAAATGTCTTGATGAACTGTTAAGATTACATCTCTTTCTGTGTTAAAAAATAAAGTATTTTTCCAGGTAACACATTTGTTTGTGCAATGATTTTTCTTTAGAGAAATAAAATAGTGCTGTATGTTCAGGAACATTAACACTAATGACAGAAAATCAATGTGAATATCAAATTCTTTCATGAAGAAATGCTAATCATTTTGCAGTTTGGGGGATTGGGAGTGAAGCCATTTCAAGAATCAAGAATTTGGAAAGGACCTCAAAAGTCACTAAGTCCAATTCCAGAATATCCAGTGGTGTGTGTTTAACAAGTACTATAGTCATACTACATTGACTTTAAGAACTCTTATCAGTTTATACTATTGAGAAGTTCTTCCTATTCTTAATTTTGAATTACTTTTCTTAGAAGTACAATCCATTGCTTCAAATCTTAAACTTTGGAACAATATAAACAAAATAATGTATTTCAAATAGCTAGTTATCTATGGTGGTGATAACATTTAGCTGTATATTTTTGATAGTTTTTAATTTCTTTTGATTGTTTTTCAATTTACTAAAGTTTTATGTATACAAAAAGACAGAAGCCTGTGGAAAATAATTATCATTTCCATTACATAGGATTTGACACTTTCACATTGGTTGATAATATCAGCCAGTATGTAAGGTTTTCGTAAATTATCTGTCTCACAGGAAATAACAGCAAACATTTGCCTCTTTATTCTATAAAAAGTTGTCATTAATGCATGAAGAATCTTTAAAGCTTTAAAAGAAANTTTTTGATTGTAAGCCGCCCTGAGTCCCCTCAGGGAAAAGGGCGGCCTATAAATAAATAAATCTACAAATCTACAAAATCTGCGATGCGGGCATTTATATATATATGGTTATTTATATATATATGGTTTTGTAGAAAGCAATTCTTCTATTTATACATCTGATGACCCTGAAAACAAAGAGATCACATAGTAAACTCTAAAGCCACTAAATAATCATAATACAATAATAACAAGGAAAATTAAAATTTATATTATCTGATTAGTTAGTTATAAAAGCAAAAATGTCTGACTCTGGAAAACAATATAAACATCTCATTAACCAAATAAGAACCTTAAAAAGGTGTCATCATATAGCTCTATTATTAAATAAAAATGACAAAAATATCCACTGTTTTTTTGGCTAGTAGGCTAAACAAGTTTATAAGAAATTATAACTCCCCAATCAGTCTGAGTTTGTTCTGAAAAGAAATATAGCCAATTCAATTAGAAGACTACTTAACATAATACACTATGCTAAGCACACTAAAATTCTACTAGCTTTACTGTCTTCTGATGTCTTCAGAGCATATGATCGAGTGGAATGCAAATTTCTTAAAAGTTGGTTACTGGAAATGGGATTAGGACATAATTTTATTGCTATAATCAATCAATTATATTCACCACTGCAAGCAGTAATTAGCATCAATGAAACAGAGATAGGGCTCTTTCAAATAAATAAGGGCATTAAACGAGGGATGCCCACTTCCCTGTGTTTCGTTTAATCTTATTATATAAGTATTAAAACAAAATATTGGTAGGAAGAACAATAATCCAAGACCTTAAAATAAAACAAAATCGTATTATTCAATAATTCAGTTTGGATGTGATATTCTCATTTCCTTCAAACTCCCATTAGGAATATTATTCAGTCACATACAGTATTGAAAAAAATATATCAGCAGAGAGCTAGTTTGGTGTAGTAACTAAGACACAAGGCTAGAGGCTGTGAGTTCTACTACTACCCTAGGCAGGAAGCCATTTGAGTGATTGAGTCAGTCACTGTTTCTCAGCCATGGGGAGATTGCAATGGCAAAGCACTTCCAAAAATCTTGCCAAGAAAACTGCATGGACTTCTCCAGGCAATCACCAGGATTCAACACTCACTCAAAGGCACACAAATACTAAAAGAGATGTTGTAACAAGATTAGAAAATAAGTTTGTTAAAGTGTCACCAAACCATTTTAAGAATCTTCAGTGCCATCAGATTTGGGCTGCCAGAATTTGGATAACCATTACATGACAGCAAAATATTGTGGCCATCTAATTGGCACAATGAACAATTCGGTTAGTACCATTTAGGGACTTGCACATCTGACAAACAATATGAGCTATATCACTAGAATGTAGATTCCCAGAAGGGCAATGCTTGATAGGCAGGTTCTCAGTCATCCAAGACATGGTTGCCTCAAAGGTGCTTTTTTTTCTTCCAAAAGACAAATGGACTACCTGTATAAGACGCACCAGAGTATAAGACGCACCATGGTTTTGAAGAGGCAAATTTAAAAAAAAAGGTTTTTGCACTCTGCAAACCTCCCAAACATGCCCCGTTTTTCACAAAAATGCCCCCCCCCNAAGACTTTAAAAATGACAACCAGCACCCTGAATTGCACTTAGAAACATACCAGTGCAGCTCACAGAGAAGTTATTTTACATGTGCCACATAGCCAGCACCATTTATTACCCATGCAGCTATACACCTGTTGAAGTTTCCAAATATTCTTCAAAACAGCCTCATGTAAAGGATGTTACAATAATCTAAGCAGGAGGTTACAAAGAGATGGGTAACAGTGAGCAGGACTCCTGGTCCAGGAATCGGGGCAATGGACACACTACCCAAAGGGGTGTAAAAGCTCTCCTAGCCACAGCTGCCATATTTTATGTGGATGGAAATATTCTTCAGTTTGCAGGAAGAATCAGTTTAGTGGCTCCTCTCTGGGTCATGTGAGCCAATATTATCTGGCAACATTTCAAGCAAGTACACAACTGTCTCCTGTCTCCTATTAAATGGGCAACATGCAAAGTTGTTAAACTCACCATTTTAAGTATCATCCAAGGCCACCCTATGTTAGGTTGAATGGTTGTGATTATTGTGATCCAGCTAGTTGCACATGCTTAGTGGAGTGGGAGGGCGGGAAAATAAAACTACAGATTAATCAATCCCTCTTCTTACCTTGTTCCACAATAAAACAATAAGGACAGGACCAGGTGTTAGCCACATTACTAATTGTTTGGCAATTAAGGCAGCAAATTTTGTGCCCGAATCCTTTTTTCCGGATGAAGGACTGATGGAGAGTACTTTAAGATCTGACTATGCTCTGTGGGCTAGTAGTCACATACATCATTTGCATTCTCAAGGTCAAACACTAGATAAAATGTATAGGTGGTCTTTGACATAAAACCATTCATTTAGCAAGCATCAAGTTACAATGGCATTGAAAAAAAGTGACTTATGACTGTTGCAGTACCCTCCAGTCACATTATCAAATGCAACTGGCATTATTTATGATACTTTCATTATTAGTCTCAAAATGATATGGTGGCAATAAATTTAATGAATAAATAAATTGCTCTTTGCAACTTTTCCAGCAAACAAACAAGCTCAATGAGTGAAGCCAGATTTGCTTACCGACTACATGATTGCAGTGACTACAGTGATTTCACTTTGCAATTATGGCAAAATTGTCATAAAATCAAGCATGTGCATTTTCTGCAGTGGCTCACCTAAAAACCAATGGAAAATCTGGTCCCAGCTGTTAGTTACACTTGCATAAAAGCATAGCAGCAATAGCACTTAAATTTATATACCACTTTACAACCCTCTTTAAGTGGTTCACAGAGCCAGCCTATTGCCCTCAACAATCTGGGTCCTCATTTTACCAACCTCGGAAGGATGGAAGGCTTAGTCAACCTGACTT